CCGCATCGTTGGCACCGGTAATAGTGAATTGATAGACAGGATTCTTGTGATACGTGTCCCTATTGTTAGCACAACCACCGGCCGTATCGGCCGTCCATTTGCCGTTCTTTTCCTATAAATCACAACAATATTGTATTCAAATAATGTGATCATATTTTATGTCAAAACATACCATCTCTTTATATTTGTATGGATTGAGTAGTTTTTTAAGCTGAAAAGCACCGGTAGAGTAGACACGTATAGTGTAGTTAATGGTCGTCGACTTCTCATACTGTGATATCGCGAGTGTATACCGACTGCACGGCTCCTGAGGTTTGGGCGTAATTTTGCATAAATAGTGCGGACTATTAATACGGACGCCGTCTATATATGGCGGCGGATCGACTGGTTATAGTGTCGGTAATCATGTCATTGGGTATAAAATAGATAATTACACATTAATTAAATTATGGTAAAGTTAGATTCTTAAATTATCAAGATGATATTGGGAGCCCAATTATGAGCATCATTTAGCAATTTATAGTCCACTCACACGGCATATAAACTTTTTCTCCATTGTTTTTATAGACCAATAGAGCGATGTATTCGTTATTATTTGCAAAATCGCTCTGCAATTGAGACATAAAATGATTATATAAATCATTGAACAAATGCTGACAAAATAAACAGTAATTACTTTATCAGTGATATGACGGGTCAACAAAACCCAAACAGTACTGTCGCCGCTTTTAAGGGTCAGATTATACTGTGGGTTATCACCGATGAAGTACAGGTCCTTTACGGGTCCCACCCCTGCGTTCCACGAACTGTATCACACATTATAAGCATTCATTTTAACCATTAAAAGAGAAAGTGATTGAACACATGAATCAATCATTTACTCACTCATGAGTACAATATGTGTATTTAAAGAGAGCGGGACTCCAGTTAAGGTACGCCACGTCGTAAAACTGGTACAAAGAGTCAATGTCTATCCAAAAGACACCTATAGATTAGGGAATATTAAAAGTTTATTATATTTTATACTATTATATAAATATAAAATCTCAAACCATTATCAAAATTTCTGGCACTTTGCGGGTCATAATGGAGGGCCTCTTTCAGAGATGGCGTCCAGTTATTGACATCTCGTTCAGAATAATTGCCTTTCCATCGCAAATGACTCCACGGATTCTTCAATAAAAATAGCCGTTTATTCTGAACAAAAAAATATAACAAAATATTTTGTCAATTTTGTCGTAAAATATACAGACAACGAGAGAGACAAACCACAAACCTGTACGGCCTTAATGTCGAGCAGGGCGTAGGCGTGTGTGGCCACCAAACCTGTGCGCTCGCATTCGGCATCGTTCAGCTCTCCCGTCGCGAATGTTATTAATACGTCTCCCTTCGCGTGTCGTTCGCATAACATCTTAAACGTGCGCTCCTTTTCCGACTCGTGGCCGTGAATGGAGAGCCGCTCCGGTATCCAACCCGTCAGTGAATGCAAATCTCGAATGTTATCAATACGTCTCCCTTCGCGTGTCGTTCGCATAACATCTTAAACGTGCGCTCCTTTTCCGACTCGTGGCCGTGAATGGAGAGCCGCTCCGGTATCCAACCCGTCAGTGAATGCAAATCAATGTTCTGCACAAATACAGTGGTCCGTTAGATGCAGTGTTTCACATGTAATATACTGTACTGTGTATATATTTGTTATGTTAAGTCCCTATACGTACAGAATTACTACCGGGAAAGTCATAGCCGCCCATCACTTTCATGTACGCCTTCTCCAGCAATGAGACCCAAAACTCGTTTCGATTACTAGAATAGGAGCACAAAAGTTGCCCGAATCGGTCCACTGGGAGTCTGTCGTCGATTAAAATCTATAGAAACAACAAATATTTGTGAAAACAAAACTAAAATAAAATATTTTGTTTGTGTTTGAAACCTTTCGGGAAACTCCATTCAAATTGAATTTAATCATATATTTGCCGCACGGGTTATACACAGGCCGGCCGTCTCGGCGTTGAGGGTATATAATGGTTGTGATGAGACGTTTGTTAAAGCGTTTCTCGTAGAGGGCGGACACCGCCAGTGAGGCCACAAACGAACAGTCGCTCACAATTGTCTGTTTAATAGCGAAACAGTCGACAGCGTCGGCGATGACCGCCGGTTCGCGGGTCAACTCTTCGAGTCGCGCCCACCTCTGGAACTGGTTTTTCTGTTTGGGCGCCAATACTAACAGTCCGTCCCTATCGGAGAACGGCATCGGATATGAGAAACGCTCCTTAAGGTCCACATTAAGGAAAGGCACGTATTCGCGACCATTGATTAGTGATGTGGTCCTTAAGACTTGGATCTCTTCGCGAGTATAGGCCGACTGTCCGCTAATGACGTGTTGCGGCGATAATGACTGTCCGCTAGTAATACCGGTCGATGATTGTCCCACAGGAACGACACTTTTGGGACTGAGTTTTAGGTCATTGATTCCAGTGTTAAGATCACAGTCTGTTGTTGTACTTGATTTAGACGGCTGTTTCAGTACTTCCGCTCTGTCGAGAGCACTGGTGGCCAAAGCCGTCAACTTATTCTTCAAAGAATCATCTTTTGTTTGATTTCTCTGTTTTTAACCAAAAAATTTGATAATTAAAAATAGTTTATAAAATTACAAAATTCAAGATATGGTATAATTTACACTAAAACTTATATAAAAACAACACTACATTCACTCATCAAAGATTAGATCACTTATTGATAAAATAAATGTCACAAAATGTGGTCTCAAATAGTGAGATGCGTTGACCGCCCAGAGGGTGGAATCGAACCACTCCGACGCTAATCGGCTACAGGTTTGAAGCCTGCACTCCGGACCACCGAGAGTTCATCTGGGCACTTTTATATACATATAATTCACCTTATATACC